CAGTCTGCTCCCATCAGCTGAGTCGGATCTCAGTAGCACAGTCTATTCTCACGAACCAAACTGTCCTATACAGCCTTACACAGTTACGCCGTCCTTCTTTTATAAAAAAAAATGATAATAAAAAGTAACGTAATTCGTAAAGCACTACTTTATTAATGAAAAAGTAATGTAACATGATAAAAATAATTTTAGGTACCTAACGTAAATGTAATTTAAATAAAAATATTTGAAGAAACGAGTAATGTAATTTCATTACTTTTTAAAAGTAATTTACCCAACACTGTGAACAACATAATTACTACTAACAACAGTTAATAAGACACGCAGACTCAGGTGCACCTTTCAGGGGCGTCATTTCAGGTTTTTTTTCGGGTGTGCGAGGTTTCAAGCAGGCCATTTTGAAATTTCACCAGGCCATATAAAAATAGATATACAAACGTGCATTATCCTGTTTTCAATTATTTCTATACATTATGGACCGAATAAATTCGGAATCATTGCATCAAAATAAATAGTAAATATCAATTAAGATACTAAAATATAATAAATAATTAATTACCTTAAGGGGGCTGCAGTCGATCGTGTTTTAAGGAAATTAATATAGGCAATTTAACATGATAGCATTAAACTGACTTGTAAGTGTGTGCAATGTAAACGAACCTTAGTGTGTGTAAGACTAATCTCTCTCAATATTTACCAGGAATCGACCCGCCGTCGACATCAAACATCGTAAACAATTAAACGTAAACGACTAATTATGTGGGTCATAAAATATATTGTTGTCAAAAGTAGGTTATTTTAGTATTCTATATTATAATAACTAAACCTATTTTTGTATACACAATTTTTTTACTCATTAATTACATAATCACTTTTTTTACGTAAAAGGAATAACACAATCAATCGCATACACCGAAACACATGTATATTATAAAAAAGGTGAGGAAAGTGAGTGCTAGAGAGGATGAACCATTACAACTTGGTACTTACTACTTACGTACTGCTATTTATACATATTAATATTATGTATTTATGCTATAATAATTTATTAAAATATATACACATGTATAATTAGAATTTAGAACTCGGCGTTATTTCACTCACATAAATGTACATAGTATTGTAAGTTAGATATCTTGGAGAAAAAAATAATGCGATCCATATAATATGAATATTAAGTCAAAATGTCAAATTATTATGTTTTTATAGTTTATTTACAAACTTCTTCAGTAAAAAACTTAAGCGTAACTATAAAGGTTAGTCACGTAAACGACAGTTTCTATCAGCTCTTGAGTCTATTAACTCGGGCAACATCGCTTGGAAATAAAAATTTTCTAGCAATGTTTTCATTTTGGTTTCGAAAAAATCATCATCTCTTAAAATTTTTTGGTATAATATACCTGTAAACATACGTACGTGGAAATCAATTTACGATAGTTATTAGTATTACCAATATTTATTTGTAATTTAAGCATTATAATTACCTTTAGGTGACCATATTATAAAATAACAAAACAATCTTTTAGTTATTTGTAATTGACCCATAACTTGAAAATAGTATTTGTCACTTTTTTTTAACTGTAGATTTCCTTGATTGTCAATAGTTGCAAATTTTAATTTTCCAGTTTCTATAGCTTCTTTTGGAGTTAATTGTTTAATTGTAGATGGACATTTTATTTCAACTATACCGTTATCATCTAATAGTCCATCCGGACTGGCTGCTAAAAACGGTAGTTGTTCATAAATGAAAAGGCCAGATTCTTGAATTTTAAGCCCTGTTAGTTTTTGAAACTCTGTCTTCGCAAAGGGTTCGCACTCAATACCATATCTTGTATGCTCATTTCCGCAAAATGTTTTATACAACATTGACTTAATTGTATTAGCTCTAGACGTCGCCGGTCGAAGTTTACAAATGGTTCCAAAGTTTGACGCGGTTAAACGAATTCGTCTTTCTTTATGCCATAATTCACATTCTGATTGAAGTTTAGTCGATTCTTCAATTAATTTGATTTCATTACTATTTTTTATAATTTTATTCGTCATAAATTCTAATTTAAGTTTTTCGTAATCATTTTCATCCATATCCAATTCTTTACAAATATCTTCTTCACAATTGCCATAGTCTTTATCTGCAGGTAAGCTAACTTTGGTAACTCGTCTACTACTTGGTTCATATGTAAGTTTTCTGTTTGTTTTACATATTTTCGTCGTCTGTTTTCTATTTATAAAACGTTTGGTAAAAACACCAGGACTTTTATTGCAAATTAGTTTTCAAAATTAAAATCCGTCCAACCCAAGTCCTACAGTTTTGTCTAGCTTTTGGCCTGTTTTACGTGATTATTGGTACCGGCTGCAGCCCAATTAACAGTGAAAACCAATAATAATTTATGCATAATAAGCTAGAAGAAGAATTAATGCAGCAGCAAATAAAAAAAAGGACTTAATATCTATATTAATAAATTGTCATTTATTTTCATAATTATTATAATTTTGGAAAAAGCAAAGCGCTAGAAAAAACAAATTTTTATTTAAATAAGCGGATATCGTCGATTTTTTAGTTTAGCAAATATATCTACAGCTTCTTCTAAATTTATATTGTTAACTTCTTCTTTTTCAACATTAAGTACCATCCGATCATTAAGTCTTTCATCACCCATGGTAGTGCGTAAATATGACTTAACTCTTTTAAGTGATGAAAAAAACCTTTCATTTGATGCCGTTGTAATTGGTAAAGTTTTTGCCAATGAAATAATTTTTAAAGTTTCTACAAATGCGATAGGAAAATCTTTTAAGCAATATTATTAGGCTTCAGCGGGGCGCAGGCCACGGCTTCAGCAGGGCGCAGGCCAATTGGAAGTATTTAAAAATTAAGGGGTGCTACCGCACACCCTGACCCCCCCCAAATGACGCCCCTGGCACCTTTGTCCTTTAAGTAAAATAACCTATGTTTATAAATCTGTACTTACAATCCTAACCATTCGTAATAATATATGCTTTAATTAATAGTAAAATATAGGACAAAGAAAGTCGACATTCCAAATCCCATCAATTATTATTCATTAAAATAGCTAACTATACCTAACTAGTGATGACCAAAACAAGACCATAACTGCAAAACTTTTGCAGTCTTGCAAATTTTTTTTTTCCCCCAAAAACACATTAGTGTATTTAGATTTCATTAACTAATAATTATTTATAACGAAAATAATAAGAATTTATTTGTATTGCTATGGAATTTGAGCAGCATTCGAGGAAATGGAGAATTATTGAAAAAAAGATTATAAATATAATGAGAATTAATACCTATTACAAAATAACATAAGTTGTTTCATACTAATTAACAATTACTGAAAACTTAATTTAAAACTTTATTTTCCCAAAATCGATAAGTTTCATCTTAGAGATCATAGCAAAAAACCTACACACAGCTATAACAGGTATTTAGTTTTTTTTTTATATATTTTGTGAAAATAGCAAGAGTCTTGCGCAAGATCAAGACCAAGACTATAAGGTTTTGAAAGTTTTAGTCTTGGTCTTGTTTTGGTGATCACTATACCTAACACTTCAGTTAATATATTATTATAAGGTAGAGTTTCATTAATAGCGATGGCCATGCATATTTTTGATTTAATACATATTATATAAAGTTATTCCACAACACACAAATTTTAAATATTTTTAAATATAATATAATATTCCGTTTCTGCAGATCATTATTAGTTGTAAATCAAATAAAATTAACGATTTAATTTTTATTAAAACAAATTTTTAAATTATTGTTGAAAGTATTAAAAACCTTGAGACTTCAGGTTGCTTATTTATAGATGCTTTAGGCATTTTTGAAGATTAGTTGGAGATAATAATATAGAGTAATAACTTAAAATAAATGTTCTGAAATCATTAATAAAAACAAAAGCTTTCTAATTTTAAAAGAAATTTCTAAACTACACCAAGGTAAGAATGTTCACTTCAAGGGTATTTCTATCCAACATTTCCTTCTGGAAATGTTTAAATATTCACCCATAACAAGCATCGATTTGGAACGAAGTTTTTCTGCGTAAAAACACATTTACAAACAGTTGTTATAATTTAACCGTGAACAATATGGAAAATATTATAGCTACTTATTGTTTTTCAAATAACTATTAAATCGTAAATTTGTCATCATAATTAAAAAAAAAAATTGTGTATAATATTGTAGCTTATTGATATAATCATTTTTTCATCATTAATGTTTTGATTTTAAAACGATACAATAAATAAATAGCTGTAATATCCAAAAATTATTTTGCATATTTTATGCTTTTTAAGTGCATATTATTTACATGCATATTTTACAATTTTTAATGCATATAAATCCGGTGTTTACTGGTAGGTGTACTTATAGTGAGTTATAAACTTATAACTTATAATTAATAGGTACACTACAAGTTACAACAGTCATCAGGTATTCTGGCGTTTAGCATCTATAGACCAATCCCTATAGGTTGGGTGAACTCCATCTCCATGCGTATCAATAACAATACTTCATAAATTACAAAAATAAAAAATTTTAACAAGGTAATTTTGCTGAGATATGGATAGCTCCTTTTGACCCCCTCCCTCGAGAATACGTTATAGCCTGGCGACTGGTCACCGACAATATTACGTTTATATATATATCATTATTCACATATTATAATATATTTCAATTAAAATTTAAACACGATAAAGCTTTATAGGCCTTTTTACATGTATATAGGTACTTCTCATTAGTTATTCTTAACTGATATCGTCTAGTTCCACAATTAAACATCGTTACAATAATATTATGCGCTCCCTCTGTCGTTATCGACCGGTCGCCTACCTTATCTATCCCACTATGTACGATTACCTATACCTCGATTGAATGGATTCAAGACTGCAATAATTATAAGTCCATTGCATTATTGTGGTGCTCGCGGTGCAGTTCGCAGTCCGTTCGCCAATCGTTCAAACTTTAAGTCTGCATAACTTTTAAAATGTCCAGTCATAACCGCTGCAGTACTTCGCTAGCATCAGCCATATTGAGTAAGTTGTTCACGTAGAGTGTATTATAATTACAAAATATTATGTCGTATGGTAGGTATATATATATATATACATAGGTACCGTGAATTGGACACTGAGTAGTAGATGCAGCAATCAATTTAATATAATATTTCGTCTTTGCGAATATTTTGCGTATTGTTTAGTGACCATTCAAGTGACTTGAATCGCTCGGTCACTTATGAATAGACTATTACGAAATAAAGTCGTTGGCATAAGTGTAACTAAAATATCGTATTAGGATTTGGGACAGGCCGATAATGATAAATATGAAAAATATTATAATTACAAAACACGTTTTTAATTTTAAATACCTAATCAGTTCTATTAGATCAGTATACGTTATCCAGTCAGTATTAGGTCAGGCCATGGACAGTTTCGCCTATAAGGTATATGCACATGCTCCACTATTTTCCGTTTTTACATATTATTATTATATTGTAAGTATAGTTGACGCTGGAAAACAAGTACATTTACACGGTGGTCGATTTCCGTTAGGGGTTTGCCCAAAATCGTTCTGTAATTGTGTAGGTAATACTCGATTTTTGAACCACTCCAAACAGTCCACTTATATTATCATGATGACTACAAGGTTTATTTTTATAGGTATTGACGTAAACGTAGGATTTGTTTTTCAGGCAGAGGTATCTCTATGCACGTATTAATATTGCTACCTAAGTCCTAATTAATAACTGGCATTGTTATTTGTTAGATTAGAGTAAACCCATAAATATGGAATTAAAATAATAATTGCTCACAATGAACCGTTTGTATACCGCTAGGTAGGTACTACAAAACTAAGATTATTGTAGACTATATAGGATAAAGACCGCTATAATAACGATAAAGCGATAATTATAATATTTAATTTTTATAATAATATAATATAATATGTGCAAACAATATTAACTGCAGTGTCATCATGCTTATTAATTTTAATGAGCATCTTTTGCCTAACTGCCTTCCTTTATTTATTTTGGTACTTACCTATTTTATTTCACTATACATTTTTACCTTTAATGATTTTAGCTTCATGACGACGATTTATTTTATTTTTTTGACACGACTATCGAGTATTTTTCCGTATTCATCCAATAATAAATTATAACTGAAAAGTTTATCGTAAATTTTATACTGTCTAGAATCATTTTTCTAGGTATCAAAGTTAATATAGGTACCTACCTACGTTATATATTACTGCTCTATGCATTTAGTGTTTCATATATAAATATATCAACACATACTTTAATAACTGTCAATAGTATATTACCTACATTAAAAAATAAATACGTTGGTACTTATAGTTTATACTTTTTTGTTTATACAGAGCTAAAAGCAAAGCCGACGGCAATGGAGAAAAAAATTATTGCGAAAATGTTAGATTATACCGACTTAACCTGCTCAATATGCTTCGACATTTTTGACAAGGTTTGTATAGTATAATAATTAATAGTGTACAATATAATATTGGTAACAATTTATTAAAGATCTATTTTAGTTATTACATTGAATATTGATTATATATAGTAAAATAGGTAGTCAATATTCAATATTCGTAGTTATAGTATGAAATTATGACAATCTATAATTTATTAACCATTATAATTGAACAATAATTTAAGAACTCAAGAACTTCAATACAAGCATTTCCTGATCAGAGATTTGTTGAAATCTGTAATTGTGTTGTTTTATGTAGGTACCTACCTACAACTTACTTAAGGTTGCTAAATAAATATATAATATTTTTAAATTAACTTAATATAATAATATCATTAGGTACTTATTGAAAAAGTGAAAAAATATAAATTTTAATAAATAGAAGGAAAATTGTTACAAAATATGAATAATCCAAATAATAATTACGGTATAGATCAGGCGCGGATCCAGCCTACATTAACGGGAGGGGCGGATTATAAATATGAAATAATTGCCTATTAATTAAAATGAATATTTTTTTTCTTAAGCTGAATTGATAAATTCAATAAATGCCTTTATTGAATTATTTACAATTTTAAATTTCCCTTCTATTATCAAATACCTTTTTAAAATATTTTTAGGTATTTTGAGGACAAAATCCTAGCGCCACGCTTCAGCTGGCAGTCGACGGTCGTCGTCCCTCAATCGGTCATAATATTGTTATCAACAATTTATAGATGTGTGTTATTAAAATAAAATACGACAATTTGTGACTGAATAATATTACAATACATTTACATAGGATAACACAAAATATTAAATTTAAACAATACGGCCAACGGGGGGTGGGGGGGCAGTTGTCCCTACAGCCCCCGACTGGATCCGAGCCTGGTATAGGTCATAGAGACAGATGGATCTAAAAAAATACGATCATTGCAGGCATTTTTTTTATAGAATCAGTGACATTGGAGATAACCACCAGATAGCGCTACATCTATCAACTTTGAAACGGTCATTCACCAAAATGTATTACAAAATGAATTATTTATAATTATTTGAAAAAAAAATTAATTTAGCTTCAGAAAATTGTCCATTTCGAGCACTGCCTAAAGTTTAGTTTAATCCTATTGTAGTAAAATATATACTTACATAAGTTAATAATTCTGAAAAAAAATTGTTGAACAAGTCTTATAATATTGTCAATAACAGAATATAAAACAATAATATTGTTAATTAAACTACAACTAGTCTTATAAATTATGATTAAACCATAATATCGAATTTGAATAATACTATAATGGTGGCCCAAGTTGGACTAAAAATGTAAAACGTAATTTACAGAGATGTACGAAAAGTTATAATAACTTATATTAAAGAATAGTAGCCAGTAGGTACCTAAATTTCACATTCATACAAAGTATTTATAAACATTTTTTTTAAACTATCAATTGTTTTGTAAAACATCTCATTCAATAGTAATTATAGTGTAGGTAGGTATCTTTTCGGATGTTATCAAAACGAGGGATATTAATCATAAAACTAATTAATAAAAACCAATGCTCACGTTTAAAAGTTTATGCTCTGACGCTATTAAAGTGATTTTTAACAGATATTGTTAAGATTAAAACAGAATATTTGTTATACATTACCTAATTCAATTAAAAGAGAATGTTTTGGAGGTAAAATAGTATACGATGCCTACCATTTCACCCCACGCTGGCTAGTTTGTCGGTATTTATAATAAATACATTTGAACAATATTTTCCTCAATAATTGTTGTGTTTATGATGTTCTCACAATCTCGTTATAAAAAACCTTATATACCTACTACAAGGTATTTGTGATTTGTGAATATGAAATGTTTTTTTTCTTCTAAGTGCGTGTCTTTATAACAGTATGCTTAGCATGTTATTAAATACCGACTTTAAAATATGTAGTCTTTGACAAAACAAATATCGCGTATTTGCATAACTCCTAAGAACTCCTGGAGTTCGGTATGGGTAGTGGGTACACACTATACACATAAGATATAAATTACATAATTGCTTTAAGCGATCCAAAGACCTCGATCGAGGTTGTTTTCTTAAAATTATGAACTATATGCATAATATATCTAATATTATTGATTGCGTTACGTACAGTAGGTACTTAATATTTGTTTATGAAAAACGTACATAACCATCACCATGTAATTATGATACATATATCTACCTGTATATCAGTCCCTAAAATTATGTGTACTACGACACACTTTGTGTAGTACGAAAAGTGCAGTGTGTAGTGAGTGTTTTAAAAGTGTGTTATTCTAATTAAATCTTTATAAGAATAATAATATTATGTATCATTTTATATCTTCACTTCTTTTTTTAAATATTTTAATGTTTTTTTGCCAAATCACATTTTAAATATTAAAAATCCTTAGTCACAGTTTTTTTTTCAAAGCATTTAAAGTTCATAAATTGACAAAATATGGAAAAATGACGAAAATTAGCAAATTATTTTGAGTTAAAAATTCGTAAAAATTTTCTTTTTAAATCTAAGGTTTTAAAATGTAATACAAGATTCCTCATAAGTTTGTCTAACTTAATCAAAAAAAAAAAAATTCTATAAGAAAATCAAATGTAATTTTTATGAGCGTTTTAAATTCAAATTTTTACAACATTGGATATTAACTCGATTTCTCTTGTAGCGATTTTCTTATTTTGTTGTAATTCAAAAACGAATAACTGTAGACACATGAAAGTTTCACTGAATGTTTATATTAGCATTTCCTATACACCATACGATTTCGAAAATATTTTGACTCTTAATGAGCTGTTAACGGTCATTTTCATTTTTCAATTTTTTAGTTTTTTTTCTATGAATATCAATAAAGTTTTGTCTGTTGGGCCAAAAAGTGTAAAAATTTAATATGAGGCTCCTGATATATTGTTACAATATCAGTTGAAAAATATTAAAAATACATAAGCACAATTTTTTTTATAAGCATTCAAAGATCGAATTTTGATAAAATGTATTAAATTTAAAACTGAATAATTATTTTGTAGTTAAAAATTTATAAAATGTTCAACTTTTATATCTAAGAATTGAAAATTTAAAACAAGATTCCACGTAAGTAGGTTATTCTGTTACCAAAAAATCTAAAAAAATACATAAGCACAGTTTATTTTTATAGTAATTTTAAGTTCAACTTTGGACAAAATTACATAAAAAAAAACCTAGAATAACTATTTTAGTTATTTTGTTGTGATTGTATAATATTTTTCGTGGGTACTTGAAGCTTCTAAAGTGTACTATTATATATCTATGATAGTATCACGGTTTGTTGTTGATGTATAACGCGTTATAAGTACCTAATGGATATTGTGATATGATTAATTTGGAATTTATTATAATATCATCAAATTTAATATCATCCATTATACAGTGACCCACTTGTAACCTACTGTACAGCAGAGCACCTTTTTTTTAAATTATTATTTGCATACCTATAGTGACTACGTGGATATAACTTGAAAATGTTCCGCTATACAGAAAATTGCATGAAATTATACTCATAAGTCTAATGTTTTAATTTTGTCATGAGTATAGGATAGTTTTGTTTTTAAGAGTTTTCCTAAAATATATTTTTAAATGTACTCCTCAGTAAAAACAGTGTGTATGTAAATTAAAAATTCTAAAATATGAATAGGTAGGTATTTAATTTAATACAATTTTAACCATTATTCTTTTTTTTTGTGATTTTACTAGCCAGCAGAGTTGAATTGCAGTCATGTGTTTTGTTTCAAATGCATTAAAAATTGGATGCTTAATAACAAGTCGTGTCCTATGTGCCGGCGATACACAATAGAACCACCAGTTGTGTGCGTTATGTTGGAAAAACTTATTACAGAAATGCAGTCAGTTTCTGTGCCTGTTGTAAGTCGACGTTATACGAGTAAGTTACCCTTAAGCGAATAATAATATTAATATATCAACAGCTCTAACTTCTAAGTTTTAACATATAATATAAAACATATAGGTACATTTAGAACAATAACAAAGGTTATAACCTTAAAGGTAATAAAAAAAAAAAATTTAATAATGCATTTAGGTATGACCTAAGAACTTTTAAAAATACCATAAAGTGTATTCTTGAAATAATTTTAATTTTTATTAGTAGAATGATTACATTGATCCCTTTGCTTAATTATCTTAGAAGAACATTTTAAAAGACCCAATCAATGAAAAAAAAATGTGTTGGTATACCTACTTTATAATTATAATAATTATAGACTATAATAGTAGTATAGTAGGTACATGTAACATCACAATCATAAGACACATTTGTAGCTTGGAAATATATTCCAAAAAAAGGGGCAAATGCATAGAAATCCGAGATTACCAATAGGTTACAAAAAATGTTTGAAATGTTTAAAACTCGTTATAAAAAATGATAATGTAGGTTACTTCTCTGCTGTACTGTAAGTGCACCCTGTCATTTAGTGAGTCACTATAATGTATAAGTTAAATTTGAATTCAATAATCAATATTTACATGGGTACAAAAATGATAATGAGGGAAGCAGTGGCGTAGCGAGAAAGGTTGTGGCCCTTGGGCCATAAGAGCCAAAGGCTCTTTTTAACACAGAAATTAAATTATTATAATACAAGTATTAATTATTAAATAGTAACTCTATTAGCTAATAATAATTATAAGGATTGTAAGGAGACGACGATGTAACAAAGTACAAATCACAATATTTTAATCATAAGATTATAGATCTGCGAAGCCTACATGCTAGCGGCTGCCTTAGAAATAATATTGTCAGAGGAGCTGTGCTGCAATCACTGCGTAGAAGCTAAGATAATATATTTATATCCAAAGTTTGTTATTTGAATATAAAAATAGGTACATTATTATGGTAAAACAAATTAAATATATTGGAGTTTACAATTCAATATATAATATAAAAACTTAATAAATAAATCATTTTTTATATAATATAATAATGAATAGGTATAGTTGATATTACATTGTGGTGGGTACCGAGTACAGTATCAAATGTAATTATATGTGATTTTATAGATTTAAAAATATTATAGATATTATAGATTAAATATATCAATTGGATAAGTTGATTCTACGATTTTATTTAGAAGAAGTGTAGGTTAAAATTGTAAAAATTGTGGTTGAGGAGTGAGGATAATAGTAAGTTAACTTTTATTTAATGTGATGTTTTAATTTTTTAATGTTTTTAATCATCTTGAGATCTACCTTGTTTGACTTAATTTTGTGGTTGATTTTTAGTAGGTAAATTAAAAGTATTTTCTGTTATATGTACCTAGCTAGTTTTTGTCAAGCTACTGGTAAATGTAATAGGTATTAGGACTATTAGGTACATCAACCCCATTTATCATAATACCTGTCATAAGACATTGTCATGTAAAAATGTTTCAACATTTTTAAACCAGGCCTTTAAAAAAAAAAAACCAGTCTTAAAAAAAATCTCGGGCAGGCCGGGTTTTTTTTCACAATAATTTTTGTACCGGACCGGGTTGAAAATTTACGGCCCTTGCAGGTATATAGTAGATAGGTAAAATCATAAAATGTATCTAAATGTTTTGAATATGTCATTGCGTGTATAAAATATAATAATATACTTAATCCAAAGTTTCAAATTCAAATGAAAAAAATTAAGAATAAATACAATTCTAACCTTATAGGTACTATTATAAAAATATATTGTTACTCTATATGAACAACTTATGTGGAACCCATGCCTTAAATTTTAAAACATTTTGACACGGGAAAAGATGTCAACATTTTATAATAACTATCAAAAATGTTGAATGTTTATGTACAGCTTAAGAACATAAGAATATTTTTGATTAAACAAAAAAATAGAAATTCTAAAATCAATACATCGCTCAGCTATTAGAATCTAAACAGGAGTGACTGCTATTTAAGAATATACCTACAGATAATACAGAGAAACCTCGATAACTCGAACGTCTATAAGTCGAATTTTCGATAACTCGAAGGAATATCTTCACCCCTGCATTTCAATAAGTACACACAATTTTTTCTATACCTAACTTGAATTTTCGATAACTCGAATTTTGTTCGTCCTTAACCGATTCGAGTTATTTCGAGACAGGTTTCACTGTATATGTATATTGTGTATGGTTATTATTTTTATTGTTTAATATTTAAATAATATAAAAATTTGATAGTAATAATAAATAACTAATAATTAAGTAGGTAATGGGTATAATAATAGTATTAACTTATCAACTATAAGCTTATTATTTTTATTTTTTATTATTAATTAACCCGCTGCAACTAAGGCTTTTGGGTGGTTTTTTACTGTGGGGGAGGGTACTGTAGGTTTAAGCATATGTGTTTGTTAGTTTGGCAGAATTTTCTAGTAGGTATTTGGCTTGTCCGGGGGGGGGGGATGGTGGCCTCTCTCTCCAGGCACCATGACTGCCCGAAGAGAAATGCCGCCCGTGTCCGGGTTTCGAACCGGCGACGGTGCGCATCGCAACCGACGCCTTAGTCCATTCTGCCATTCCGGCCCCCACTATACGTTTTATTGGTTTTAAATATATCATACACAATATATACAATAGGCAGATACATACATAAATATTAAATATAATAACTGAAATGGATTAGACTTAATTGTAGGAAAATATCGATGGGCTACATTGATATTATATCCATATAATGTAATAATATATTATGTCCATATATGTATCTTAGCTTCTAATTTTGTTATATTTATGTTATCTTGCTGTATATCAGAGTTTACACATCATGTATAACTTTTACTGAACTTTCGTTGTAATATGTTATAGGACTTAACTACTTAAGTCCGTTTATATGAATAAATAAATTGAAAATTGAAAATCTGTGAGGGAAAGATTTAAAAACTAGTTTGAATGATTCCACCGGAGCCATTACAATTTACGTTTTTGGGACTCATAAAAAATATGTAGGTATACTTTTTGATGGATTAGAAAGTTATAATAGGAAGGAGCATGAAGACAAATAATTAAGTTTGATATGGTTTTCGGGTACAAATATTTTTTATTTGAGTTTGAGCATACGGCGTATAGTCAATGTATACAGATGCAGAGTTGAGACTTTGAGAGTAGTGAGTATTCCTATAAAGAGTTCAACAATAAAAAAATAAGCGATGATTTGTAGATTACCTGATTGCATAACTATATATCTTTAAATTATTAAATCTTCATAAGGATTCTATTTGAATGTCTAAATATGTACGTATGAAATATATATGTGCCATGTGTATATTTTTATAAATATCTTTTAATATTGTTATTTTTATTATTTGTCCTATTTAAGTAGGTACAGTTTATAAAGCGCAAGAACCTTTAACCGCACCACGTCCAGCCGGTAAAAGAGAACTTAATGGTCGTCCACCTTGGAGATAGAAAACGAAGAACAACGATAACCATTTTAATATATAATATGCATATAATAATCTATATTTGTACGTTTTTAAAGTCAATAATGTTTGTAATTTGTATTATTTTAACTAAATGAATAACTATATCTTTATATTAATCCTAGACCCTAGAACCTTTATGGAATAAACACAGTCTTGAAGGCTAGTTATAGAGTAGACTATAAATATATTTGTATTTTAATTGTTTAATAAATAATAATTATTTGTATAATGATAGATAGGTAATATATTTTTAACTTTTGAATATTTTTATATAAGCTTTTTAAATGATTCTTGATTTTTTTTTATCAAATATTATATAAAATATAGTTTGAAAATTGAAATGTTGTAGATACATATATATTATACTAAAAATAAAAATATCGCAAGAAACTATAATAACTATGTACTTAGTGTTATAAAAAACAGTGTTACCTTGCGTGTTACCCCATGAGTAGTACAATATGTAGGTACTTACCTACCATCAAACGAAACCTTTAATAAAAGTGATTTTTAAAATATATTTGTAAATTTTTCCTGGTTCACCTTACAAAAGTAAATAATCATTTATCCTATTTTTGAGGATTTGACATGGTTTGACATGAAAATAAACATATAGATGATATATTTGGCAAAATATTTTTGTGATCATACTCCTTAAGGTTGTGAATAACTGTAACTCAGAATAAGTAATGAAAAAGTGTAAAAATTATTTAAATCTACGTCGTAAAAGTTTTTAACAACATTTATTTAATTTATTAGGTAAAATAAATAGTTACCTATTTAGTTATTAGGAAATCAATTTAGTTATTATTGTTTTTTTTTATCAATTACCCATGTATTTTAGTATTTTATTTAACATTCAAAAATTTTTAAAATGATATTTTTTTCACAAAAAATTACAAACTTACTAACTTGAAAATAGGTACCTATTTAATTGTTTATAGTATTGATGATTATAAGGTCTAGATTAAAATATATAAACAAATATATTTTATAAAAATATATTAGCAATAAATATGGTAAAATTATGCTTAATTTTGAGTGTAAAATAGAAAATAAAATTAATATTTTAGAGCAATATGTAAAGAGGAAACATAATAGGTACATTTTTCGTTACTATATGTTGTGTTTTGATAGTGAAACCGATTTGCTTCGATCAGCATAAATCATAATACAACTACCTACTATTTTCCTGGAAGCAATTATTTTATATTTTGAAAATAGACACCCGTTCTAATTTTATCTAGTTATACCGGCAACCGGCTAGTACCTACATTAGTAGTGCATATTTTCTATACTACCGCCTGCAGCATGTTTTTTAGGTTGAAATCTACACATGTATCTGCTGCAGTACTAATACGTTCTAAATTAAAAACAACAAGTCCCACCATCGTAATCTTATGGGAATTAATTAGAATCAGCGAATAGGCTATTGCTCCCCATAGGCCGTAGCCCGTAGGACGGGTTCTTATATATTATTTAATATTTAACAACGAGGTCATAAGAGCATTAGGATTTCTCGTGTATTTTTTAAAAATATTAATAAAAACATGTATAGGTGTAAGCATCCACTCCTGAAATAAACGTATATCTAATACAACCTGCACGTATTATAATATGCCTACGTGTTTTTATTTTTTTTAAGTTTACCTAGAAATTAACATTTAAGTTATTTTAAATGAATGAATTTTCCTGGTATGAATTTGGTAGGTATGTAAATGTAAGTAAAGTATTTTTATTTTTCTATAAATATCAGTAAGGGTAAAAACGTTCTTAGGCACGTATATGGTTAAAAATATCAATATCTACCTACATGGGAAGTGTAAAGGTTTTTAAAAAGACAATTTGATAATCATCACGTTTGTGTGCTATCTATCGAGTTTTATATCAATTCCGATTCTGTATAGTTTTTTAGTTTTTTTTCTATATAATATATCAATACAATTTTATTTGTTGGTTAAAAAAGCTTTAAAATTTAATAGAAGGCTCCTAGTATATTGTTTCAAAGCCAGATGAAAAAAATGAAAAATCCTTAGTCAAAGTTTTTTTTTATAAGCATTTAAAGTTCAAATATTAACAAACAACTGAAAAAACACGAAATCTTGCCAATTATTTTTAGTTAGAAATTCTTAAAATTTCTCTTTTTAAATCTAAGATTTGAAAATATAATACAAGATTTTTTCATGAGTTTGCCTACCTTTATCAAAAAAAAAAATGTCTACCGGAAAGTGAAATTAAATTTTTATGAGCATTGTAAATTCATATTTAATTTACAAAATTTGTTATTCAATCGATTTCTCTTGTAACGATTTTCTTATTTTGATATAAATCAAAAACGAACGATTCTAGATACATGAAAATTTCACTGAATGTTTATTTTATCAATTCTTATACATGATAAAATTTTCAAAATATTTTGACGCTATTTAAGCTGTTTATTGTTGGTTTTCAATTTTTTTTATTTTTTTTTCTCTGAATAGGTATCAATAAAGTTTTATCTGTTTGGTCAAAAAGTGTAAAACTTTAATACAAAGCTTCTGATATATTGTTACAATAGCAGTTGAAAAATATTAAAAATACATAGGCACAATTTTTTTTTATAAGCATTTAAAGTTGGAATTTTGACAAAATGTATCAAAATATCGAAAATTAACAATCATTGTAATATAATTATAAAATGTTCAGTTTTTATTGTTAAGGATTACAAATTTAAAACAAAAGTTCCCATAAATAGTTCATACTGTAACCAAAAAATCTAAAAAATATATGAACACAGTTATTTTTTACAGACATTTTAAATTTAAATTTGGACGAAATTACATATTTAAAAACCTAGAATAACTATTTTAGTTATTTTGTTGTGATTGTATAATATTATTCGTGGGTCCTTGAAACTTCTAAAGTGTACTTTTATATATCTATGATAGTATCACAGTTTGTTGTTGATGTATAACGCGTTCTAAGTACCTAATGGATATTGTGATATGATTAATTTGGAATTTATTATAGGTACCTATTATACGTCAATTAATTTTTTAATACCATACATATGTATATAATATGTCTTATACCTAGACTTACATACCGTCTCCGCTCAGAATCGTTTTTCTTATAGATACAATGATATTATATCATCAAATTAAAATTTAATACCTTCCATTATACAGTGACCCATTTGTAACCTACTGTACAGCAGAGCACCTTTTTTTGTTGAGATTCTTTTATATGTAAATGTAGTTATAACTTCCAATTCTAAATATATACATATCCAATCTACATATATCTATATTTACACATACAATTTACTTAAATGTATTGTTAACCCTAAATTAAAATTTAAGGGGGCTGGAGCTTGTTATTTTTTAAGGAGGAATACTTAGGCATTTTATACAGCTTTTATATTTGAGCTGTTTTTTTAACTTTTTTATAATTACTTATTATTGTCATAAACCATCAGTTTGAATTTACATTATATTAAATATTAGGATTATCATTCTTTATTATACATTTTTACCACTTTATTTTTGTCCGAAAATAATAATGGCCCATTTTCATTTCGGCGGTCCACCGAGATTTTCATCGTAGCTCGCCGGTTCAATCCTGGCCTGTTGACGTCTTTCCTGCCTAATAGTGACATAGGTATTTAACAAAATCTTGTTCGTTGAAAATTGATAAGTTTGCTACTGCTTCACGTAAGGACACAAATTTGTCTTTTTGTACTTTGCTGTCCTTTAAACCATTATTTGAAAATAGTTGAAGTCCTTCTCTGGACCATCAATTTGTATTTATACCCACTGCTGTGCCAACTATACTAAACGCCAGCGCCGTTCCGAATGTTTATCAATAACCCATTTATATTTTGACTATCGAGAGGTCCTCGGTCTACTTATGGAACACTTAATACTATTTGGTCGCCAACCTTTAGTTTCTTCAATAGTTTTTCACTATTTTCTCGTATGATATGGACTGTGGGCATAGACTTATAGAAATGGACGGAACATTAAGTATGGTAAAGAAGAAAATGTTTCATTTTTATTATTTTTATGACTTGAAATAGGCATTTAGTTAAATGCCTAGTCATTTAATGAATTTTAAAATGATTTTAAAATTAATTAGTAATTTTAAAACGACTAAGCATGTAACTAAATGTCTATGCGGATTGCGGATAGTGAAATTATACTCTTTGACTATTTGTCTAGGCATTTAGTAAATTACCTGATTTTACTATATGCCTACGACATATATAACAATTAGGGATTGGATGTTGTTGCACTATAAAAATGCCTTAAAAATGTATTTTAGACATAAAAACATAAAAATGTCCTAAAAAATAGGAAAATAACCTAGAAAATTGTATAATATGTTAATGACCTAAATACTTAAGAACCGCTCCTAAATTGTTTGAGTTAATAAAATTATTCAATGATTTTAAATAAAAGCTAAAATGTATAAAAATTAAAAACACGTGTTGTTGATTTAAATTTGTATTTCAAAACTGGTTTTGATCTAGAATACTATTAAAAATTTTGTTTTAAGTGTTTTTTGATTTTTTGTAATAGGTAGGTAAAATAAAATTAAGTTTAATGGTAATAATATTCATACCTGTACATTCTGAAAAATATATTGAACATTTTTTAAAAATATAATAATGATAAATAAAATTAATCTGTAATTTTTTGCTCAACTGTTGAAAATAAGTAAACAATACCATAAAACTTCAAAAAATTGCAAAATAAAAATTACATTTAGTGACTAGCATATCACGTTATTGAAACACATATTAAGCTTGGAAGCATGTCTATAAGATGTTCCAAAAAAAGACTTAAACGTCACCAACACCTGAGCTTTACATATAATCATAATAATTATAATATTATTTATTATAAACTTTGGGAAAAAAAACCCGTACAAGCGAATCGCCGAATCCTTTCAAATCATGATATCGGGGTTTTGGTGAGAAAAGTTGTAACTGGTACCTCTCTT